AAGACACACAATCCTGAAAAATTGCACAACATTTTTGAATAAAGAAATGCAACCCAATCCAAAAGTAAAGATGCAAGGTCCTCAGATCTAGGGGGTCCTGCATAAACATTCACAAGATCCTGGTGGTTTGGAAGTCAGTCAGTTTTTGTTCATGCAAGCCTACACAGACTGCAAAGACTGGGACATGATCTCCACAGATCATGTGGCTGGCCTGGGGTAAAAATATATAACTGAATATATACAGCTATATACTCAGTTATATACAATATACTCAAAGAAACAGATATTCTCATCCAGTGATTTCATGTAGATGTAACAGGAGAGGAGAGGATATTGAATTTTGTGGTACTCTACAAAAGAAACACCTAGGCAATGACTGTTCACTTCCTGCCATCACAGACTGCAACTGGAACCAAGGGGAAGAAGAGAACATTTAAAACTGTATAATCATTTTCCAATACCTATCAAGAAGCACATGATGGCTATTGGTATTATAAGCCACCAAGAGATCAAGAAGCACAAGAATAGATGCACTTTCCACTTATGCCATAGATTATCAATAAGTGCAACCAAAGAGAAGACCCAAGTGTTCTCCAAAGACATCGGCAACTTCAGGGAAGTTGTAATAGGGCAATATTTCCTAATATTATTGGTCCAAGGAGTTTTGGAAGTAGTTTCAAAGAGCTGATAGGTGGTGAATGGATCCAGAGGAGCATCAAGAAGGTCTGAAAGATTCAAATCATCAGGCATGAGATTTATGGATCATGCCTTTATGAAAATTATACCTCAGCAGTTGAAATGAGTTGCATACTTGTATAAGCACTATGGGCTTGTAATACATTTTCCCTTAAGGAAACATTTCAGAAGGAAAACACAAGCACTAAGAAAGCCTCAAGACATTCAATTTTCAGCCCAATTCAATGGTTGATGTTGTATTTTATCTTTTAAAATTGATTATAGATACATATAGAAATGGAATAATCTGCTCACTGTATTCTTTATAGATATAAGAATAGCAATAGCATTTATACTTACATACTGCTTCACAGTGCTTTACAGCCCTCTTAAGCAGTTTACAGAATCAGCTATTGCCCCCAACAATCTGGATCCTCATTCTATTGCCATCTCAGAAGGATGGAAGGCTGAGTCAACCTTCAGCCGGTGAGACTCGACTTGCCAAAGTGTAGACTGAATTTTATTAATAATTTTTAAATAAAGGTAAAACTAATCTAAAGTAAGGAAAACAATAAGAAATCAAAGACAAAGTAAAAGGAAAAATTGGAGAAAGTAAATAAAAAATAGTAAAAGAAAAATAGATATAAAGAAGTAGCTTCTGATTTTCTTTACTGCAATTATAAGTGCAATTATAAATTTACTTCTTTCTCCATGGTTATGACATAAATCTCTATGCTCTATCCTGTCTAATCATCAAAATCATAAATCTTAAGTTCATTATTTTCTGTTTTATGAAAAAAATCACTAAGATGCTTCTAGTCATCAAAAGGATTAACCAGCCCTATAGTTGAGTGCTTGCTTCCCTGGGCTCTGCATGAGTGGGGATGGATCCATTTTTAAATTCTTTTTTGAAGGTCAGTAGAGTAGAGATTTGCCTCACCTCCAGGGTAAAAATATTCCAAAGGGAGGAGATTATGACAGAAAAGGATCTCTTCTCGTCTTGTGTTCTTTAACTGATGCTTCTGCAACATACCGTCCTTACCTGCCCAGGTGTGACAGACTGATGCAATTAAATGAAGCCAGTTCTGTAAGTAGCCTGGCCCCATTCACCATTGTGGTTAATGTCAATTATTTCCATCTTTGTATGTACAATAATCTTGCTGCAGATACACAAATGCAAAAATTATACAAATAGAAATACTAAAACAAAGTTCTACATCAACTTTGATGATAAATATCAATGGGGCCCAAATATCAAATTCTACCACCGAAAGCCTTCTATTTCTCAGTAGCACCTAATCTTTCAACCAAAGCAAATAGCAAACAATAAAATATAATTTGAAATAAAGTAGGCCCAATTTTCCTCTTTCCTTTCAATCTTGTAACACCTTATACTTAATTTGTGATATTTACCCCACCACACAAATTTAGATATATATTTCTAACACTGTTTCAAAGGTTACTATAAAACTATTGTCTGAAGCAAAAATATCATTCCAAGCAAGACATTCATTTTTACCGCAGAAATTCTCCACAGACATGACAATTATAACTTATCCCATCTTAAGATGTTTTTAAAACCTCATTCCATGTCTTACCTGTATGCTGTTGTTCAGAGAATACTAGCAAGTGCTTAACATACAGTTCATATTTGTCATAGTGATGCCCAGATATGTTATCTACTTCTCAGTAGGTCTTAAAATCTGTTTTATTTATCAGCTCAGTTTGATCTGATATAACATCTTCACCTGTTTATTAATTTTGAAGCCTGCTAATGCACCAATTTTTTTAATATGCTCATTAATTTTTAATTTCCTTTACGGGAACCAAAACCAAAGCGAAGTCATCTGCAAAAGCCCTTAACTTATATTATTGTTTTAAAATCTTTCCTCCAACAATTCAGTATTTCAAGAACCAAAATAAACAAGATAGGAAACAGTGAGCATTCCTGTTTGTTCCCTTTTGTTTGTCACAGGGTTTTGTTAAATCTCTATTAACAATAATTTGTGTTTTCTGGAAAGTCCCACTTAATCTTGCCTATTTTACCCAAGAAAGCCCAATTCAATATGTCAAAGGCCTTCTCTTTAACTAAGAAAATCAATGTGGCTTGTTTTTCATTATGTTTCCCAAATAGTCCAAACTATTGTCCAATACAGTATGTTTCTAATATTGTTTAACAACTGTCTTTTAGTTTAAAACCCACATTCATCCTTATGAATAGTTTATTAATAGATTAGTCTTACAACTTATAAATAAGATAAAAGAAGATACACATAATCTGGTCCCAGAATAAAATACAGTAGATGGAAGGTAAAGCAGTGATAAAATACATACAGTATGTGATAAGATGAGTCAGCACTCTGATAAATGAATCTTCTTGCATGACATCCCAATTTGTTTGACTTATTGGGTCCTTAGCTCAACTGTCTTAATTAAGAATTTAGCAGTTCTGCTTACAAAATATACATTATTGCCCAGGAAGAAATATGATAAATCTATGGTTCAGATCCCATTGGAGCCGAGGTGGCGCAGTGCAGTACTGCAGCCACTTCAGCTAACTGTTAGCAGCAGTTCAGCAGTTCAAATCTCACCGGCTCAAGGCTGACTCAGCCTTCCATCCTTCTGAGGTGGGTAAAATGAGGACCCTGTCAGCACCTCTCCATTAATTAATTAGGAAAGAAAGACCACAAGACTCCATGTGTGGAAATCAAGTGTACTTTTACTAATTAANTTCCAAAGGGTCGGAGCAGCCGCAGAGAAGGCTCTCCTCCAGGGAGCCGCCAGCCGACATTGTCTGGCTGACGGCATCTGGAGGATGCCCTCCCTGTGGGATCTTACTGGATTGGATTGAATTAGGTTGGGTTGAGTTGGGTTGGGTTAGTTGAGTTAACTTGGCTTAGCTTGGCTTAAATTGGGTTGAGTTGGATTGAATTAAGTTGAGTTGGGTTGGGTTGGTTGAATTGCATTGGCTTGGCTTGAATTGGCTGGGATTGAGTTGGGTTGAGTTGAATTAGGTTGGGTTGGGTTGAGTTAAGTTGGGTTGGCTTGAATTGGCTTGGTTTGGTTGAGGTAAATTGGCTTACCTTGGGTTAGGTTGAATTAGGTTGGGTTGGGTTGAATTGGGTTGAGTTAAGTGGGCTTGGATTGAGTTGATTTGGGTTGGATTGAGTTGGGTTAGGAAAAATGCTGATATTGGCCACTCTGGGAGGCAGGCTCTCTCATGCATTGTCTGAAGGACCTCAGAATGTTCTGTTACTCCTAACAGTTCCTACTGTCACTTGGGAGAACTTTAGGATAGAGGAGACCAGAAAGTTGCAATCACTTGGCCCAGGACTATAAGAGACCCGGGTTAATGTCGCTTAATCACAACATCAAAGCTGCTCTCTTACAGTATTTTATATCGTTTTACTTCTGTAACAAAGCTAACCCTGTCGGCAAATACAATCAGAGGCACTTTCAATGGTTTTCTGTCCCATCCCATCCCACCCCATTCCATTCCTTTATTATTGCCTCTCTTGAATATCTGTTGCGGGCCTCTTCCTCTTTTCATCTGTGCTGCATTTGGCTTAAATCCATTCAACCAGGCCGGTGTCTACATAGTAATGTTTCTGAACTTGGCCACTTTATTTTTGATTTTTTAAAAGTTTTGTTATTTTTTAAGTTACAAAAATAAACATTTAAATCTTTTCCTTAAGCAATGCGTCGTCTGGGTACAAACATCTCTGTGCAACATGGTTCCTCTTTTGCCACATCTTTCTTCTGCTAGGAGTTTCAGCTGAAATTTATAATAAAGAGAATGTATATTTCATCATTCATGTATTAATCGCTGCTAGAATTATATTTGCACAACATTGGAAAAGTGTAGAGATTCCTATGGATGAGAAGGTGATAAGGAAAAGATTAGAAATGTGCAGAAATGAACAGATTAACATTAACAGTGAAGCAGAAAGAGCAAACTGAATATTATATGATTTGGGAAGTATTTTACCAATGGTTGGAGAGAGAAAAAAAGGAATTTGGAAATGAAGAAAGCTAAAAAGATAAGTAGATAATACACTTAGAGATATAAATGAAAACTTAGTATGTGTATGATGAGAATAATGATGTTTAATGTTAATAAATCATTACTAGAAGATATTATGAAGAAAAAGGGAGAGTTCTGAATTTTGCCACTTTAAAATGAGTGGAGATTATCTCCCAGAATGCTGTTTCTCCCCACCCTGTCTGGGGAATTCTGGGAGTTGAAGTCCACCCATCTTAAAAGCTGTCAAGGTTAAGAAACACTGCTTGAGGGTGTTCCTTAAATGTGTGACCTCTGACCTGTCCTTCATCCTCTTCTCCTTCTTCTTCCAGTGAGTCACCGGTCACAGTCCCACCAGCCATCCTCCGAGCCCCACCGGACCTTGCTTCAACACGTGGCCCAATCCCAGACAGCGACGCAAACCTCGGTCGTGGTGAAATCCATCCCCACCTCTTCCGCTGGCGCCATCACGCACATCATGCAGCAGGTGGGCGGTGTTCCGCTGATGGGTGACGGACTTGCCAGCATTGAACAAGCGTCTGGGGCATTACCCTGTGGGATTGCTTCTTCCATTGTAGACATTTCATTACCAAACTAGGTGATACCATCAGTGGTAGAAGGAGGAGGGTTTTGCTCTTTTCATTACCGAACTAGGTCACATCACCAGGTCTAGAAGGGACCAAAGGTTTAATCAGGAGTGGGCTTCAAAAATTTTAGCAAGGGGTTCTCTGACCAGTTGCGTGGTGGGTGTGGCTTAGTTGGCCTCCTGCACCACAGCAGCAGGGGCGTTTTTGCCCTCCCCAGGCTCCGGAGACTTTTCTTGAGCCTCCGGGAGGATGAAAACGGCCTCCCCATGCTCTGGAGGCTTTTTTCGAGCCTCCGGGATGGTGGAAACGGCCTCCCCAGGCTCCGGAGGCTTTTCTCGAGCTCCGGGAGGGTGAAAACGGCCTCCCCAGGCTCCGGAGGCTTTTCTTGAGGCTCCGGGAGTGTGAAAACGGCCTCCCCAGGCTCCGGAGGCTTTTCTCAAGCCTCCGGGAGGGTGAAAACGGCCGCCCCAGGCTCTGGTGGCCCGTTTCCAGCCTCCCTGTACTTCCAGTAGGCCCATTTTTCACCTTCCCCGAGCCTCCACGCGCGCCTTACCGGCATCCAAAATGGGCCAGGTGGGGACTGTGGGGAGGGGAGGGGTGGGTGGGGCCAGCCAGGAGTGAGAATTTGGGGGTTCTCGGAACTGCACAGAATCTTAGCTAGAGGTTCTTCCAAACCCCCAGCAGTCCACCTCTAACCTCTAGAAGCAAGCTCCCCGTATATAAAGCAACGATTTAATTAATTTTATTGTCACTTTGAATACACACCAATCGACATACGTTACAATGAAATGTCGTTGCATCCAGCCCTCAAAGGGCCTCACCACTAAATAAATAAATACAAAAATTATGGACCACTTACCCCCCCATATATTATGTGACACAGAGAAACAATACAGTTCACCCCACCCAGCCGCTCATTAGGTCAGATCATATTAGTAGTCCGCGGGATTTAAAATTATGAATTTAGTGGTCCCTGAGGTCCGAAAGGTTGGGGACACCGTTGGGCCAAGGGATTCCCCACCAAACTTTTGACGACATCCATTTGTTAGCCCCACCAGTGAGGTTGTGGGGCATGCTGGCTAAAATTGACCCGGATGGTAATTAAGCAGATCCTGAGGGCCCCAGGATGGTTCAAACCCTACTCTTTTTTCTTTTGAAAAGTTTTTTAATTTTTTTTTGTTCTCTATATACAATTATAGGTTTTTCCATGTTTTTCGGAGTATAAGACGCACCGGAGTATAAGACCCACCAAGATTTTGAAGAGGCAATTTTTTTTTTAAAAAAAAGGGTTTTGCACTCTGCAAACCTCCCCAAAACAACCTGTTTATCGCAAAAACTGGCCCTTCCCCCCCCAAAAGGGCACGAATAGCCTTTAGGAGGCTTGTAGAGTGTTTCTGGGGCCTGTGGGGGGCCAAAAATGAGCAAAGAATGGCCTGTTTTTTGTCTAAAAAGAGGAGATGCATAACTTTTAGGAGGCTTGTAGAGTGCTCCGGGGGGGGGGAGCAAAAATTGGCCCGTTTTTCACTCATTTTTGCCCTCCCCGGCCCCCAGGAGCACTCTGGAAGCCTCCTAAAGGCTATGCACAGCCATTTTTGCAAAAGGGGCAGGGCTTCAAGAGGCGAAAAAATGCTGTATTCAGTGTACAAGATGCACTCAGATTTTCAGCCTCTTCTTTGAGCGGAAAAGGTGCGTCTTATACTCCGAAAAATACGGTAGTTGTTCTTTTTTTTACATTCGTCGTTCTTATACATTTGTCGTTCCATTTACAGGGTGGCAACACGCCATTTGGGTTGTTTTGTTTACCATCCCTCGCCTGTTTTGGCACCACTTCCTTTTCTCCCTCCCTCCCTTCTCTCCTTCCTTCCTTCCTCTCTCCTTTCCCTTCTTTCTTCCCTACTTTTGATTGGCGTCTTCTCTCTCCTGCCTTCCAGGCCTTGAGCAGCCACACGGCTTTCACCAAACACAGCGAGCAGCTGGGCACCGAGGAAGGGGAAGTAGAAGACACCTTGGACCCTCAAACCGGGCTCTTCTACCGGTCGGCTTTGACCCAGGTGCAAAAGCAGCAGAAGCTGACCCAGGCCCAACTGGAGCAAACTCAGCTCCAAGTCAAAACCTTGCAGTGCTTCCAAGCCAAGCAGAAGCAGACCATCCACCTCCAGGCGGAGCACCTGGCCGCCAAGCTACCCCAGCTGCCCCAGCTCTCCATCCGACACCAGAAACTCGCTCCCCTCCAGCAGGATCCGGGCGCCGCCAAACTGGACTCGCAGCAGGCCGGCGCCCCTTCCGTCACCCGTGAGAGGCAGCTGCCCACCTTGGTCGCCCAACCCCAACAGACTGTGGTTCAGGTGCTGGCGGTGAAGACCACCCAGCAGCTGCCCAAGCTTCAGCAGGCCCCCACGGCGCAGAAGATCTACGTCCAGCCCCAGAGCCAGCTGCAGCTCCCTGCCGCTCCCGAGAAGGCGCCCACAAGCCAGGTGAGACCCACGAGAGGATGGGGGAGGGGATGTGGGTCCACCCGAGGGCTGGAGAAAGCATAAATCACAATCTTCATCCCCTAAACCCTCTTTTATTTATACGGCTGTGAATTATGGTCATTCCCAGTCTGATTGGAGATGAGTGTTGACTGGCCAGATGCCCTTCCTGTCCCCAATCCAGAGTTTTGTTCAGCGGATATATTCTCATTGTGCCCAGAGAGAGAAATATTTGCTTCTACCTAGGATTGAACTCACAGCCTCCAGATTGCAAAAGAAAGCCTCAAGCATGGCGATCGTATGTCGAGGACTACCTATGAGGTGCATTGACCCTGCCTGTAACCATGTGTCCTCTCCCTTCGATTTTCAGGTCCACCAGCCCATCATCACCCAAGGATCGTCTGTTACAAAGATCACCTTCGAAGGTCATCAGCCCCCCACGGTCTCCAAGGTGACACCTCCCCTCCCCACCCTGTTTCCTGGGCAGTTGGCCGCCAAGACGGCGGTGGCGGACATTTTGAAGATGTCCATGATGGAGGCCCAGATCGAGCCCAGCGCCGGAGGCGATGCGGCGCGCAAGGCCTGCCCCCCTGCCCACCCTCCGGGCGAAGCGGAGTCGACCCCCACCTCCGTGCTGAAGGCGGCCCTGGGAGGGGTGCCCCCAATGGGAACGGCTTCCGTCTTGCAGCAGGTGAAAACCTTGGACTCGAATTCGAGCCCTCCTGGCATGGGGCTGCCTCTCCAGGAGAGGAAGCTGAACCCCCCGGCTCCCCCCACCGCCAGCCAATTCATCCGTATCCAGAATGTCGCTGCCCCCAAAGCTGAGGAACTGGCGGCCGAAATCCTCATCCAGGTAAGGCGGGGACGAGGCCCTTTCCGCTGATTCGATGCTGTTCTTTTTATTTCATTGTATTTTATTCTTTTACTTGTTTATTCACCGTATTTTTCGGAGTATAAGACGCACTTCCCCCCTCCCTAAAAGAGTGAAAATTTGGGTGCGTCTTATACACCAAATGTAGTCCCACCCACCTGCCGGCACCCACTCTTTGGCCTCTGCCTGCCAGCAATTTGCCTCCTTGCAGCAAACAGCAAACTGCCTGTTTCAGTTTCAATTTAGCCTGATTAAGGGGAAGAAAATCTGCCTCTGCTTCCCAGCAATTTGCCTCCTTGCAGCAAACAGCCGGTTTCAACTTCAGCTCAGCTCGATTAGCACAAGCAGCTGATAGTCGGTTGGATTGGCCTCCCGATCATCAGCTGTTTCGGGCTGCAAGGATTGCCATTGTCTATTGCCGTCTAATATTGCCCTGTTTTCAGCCTTCGTGTGCCCCATTTTCTGTCCATTCTGATCCCCGCCGCCCGGAATGGGCAGAAAATGGCTCCCAAGTCGACCCCTGTTCCTTAGCTGTTCCCTTCGTCTGGCAACTCTGCACATGCGCACACTGGGAACAGG